AAGCTCTATAAGCAGTTGAACGAACTGTTGGATGCTGGCATGATCCAGCCATCCAAGTCCCCCTATGATGCCCCAGTCCTCTTCCAAAAGAAGCAGGAACGGCTAGCTGAGAATGTGCGTGGAAGACCGCACCTTGAACAAGCTTACAATCAAAGATAAGAACCCACTGCCCCTGATTGATGACTTGTTCGACCGACTAGCCAAGGCCAGGGTCTTTAGTAAATGTGATCTACGAACAGGCTACTAGCAAGTCCGCATAATAGAAGGCAACGAAGGAAAATCGACTTATGTAACCCATTACGGGTCCTATGAATTCCTTGTAATGGCGTTTGGGTTAACTAAATCCCCGACAACTTTTTGTCGTTTAATGAACATCGCACTTGGTGGCTACATTGATGACTTTCTAGTAGTGTATTTAAATGACATTATAGTGTACAGACAGACCTTCTATGATCATGTGAGGCATCTAAGACCAGTGTTGAAACAGCTGAGAGCCAACCATCTCTTTGTAAAGTTTGAAAAATGTGTACTTGCCCAAGAGGAAATCATGTATCTCGGGAACAAAATGGGAAGGAGGAAAATACAGATGGATGACCAAGAGGTGCATGCCATCCTAGATTAGTCGTAGCCTAAGGATCTTCATGAGCAACACTCTTTCTTGGGCTCGTCAACTATTATCGGCGCTTCATTGCAGGGTACTCAAAGAAGGTCGTATCCCTGACTAACCTTCTTAGGTCAAGTGGGAATGGACTGGGGACTGTGAGCAATCCTTCCAAAAGATCAAGAGGGTCATCACAAATCAGTGTTGCGGCTTTCTGACTTCAGAAAGCCCTTCAAAGTGCAATTTGATGCCTCGAGTTATGCAATAGGTGGGGTGTTGATGCAAGAGGACCACCTTGTGGCCTACGAAAGCCGAAAGCTAAACGAGATTGAGCAGAAGTACTCAGTCCACGAGAAGGAAATGACCGCAGTAGTGCATTGCTTCAGAGTGTGGAGGCACTACTTGCTGGGAAGTAGGTTTGTGGTGCGCACAGACAATGTGGCCACAAGCTACTTCACGACCCAGAAGAAGCTGACCCCAAAGCAAGCTCAATAGCAGGAGTTTTTTGGCTGAGTTTGACTTCACCTTGGAGTACAAACCAGGCAAAGCCAATATGGTGGCTGATGCGCTCATTCACAACACCGAGCCCTTAGTGGTGGTTGCCACCAGCACCCGAGTAGAGGGGGACCTCCTAGATCGCATTTGCGAGATCAACAAGTCGATGACCCAAAAGTTGGTGTAGCTAGTCCAGGAGAGGGACGCACCCGACGGTTCTAGTAAGAGGGTGGTGCTCTATATGCTAAAGGCAAACGCGTTTATGTGCCTTGCACATAAGATGACCTAAGGAAGGAGTTGTTGAGGGAGTACCACGATGCCCCAGTAGCTGGCCACCCGGGGCAAGAGCAGACCTTGGTCGTGTTGTCCTGCGGCTTCTATTGGCCGAACATAGACCAAGAGGTCGAACACTATGAGAAGACCTACCTAATGGGCTAGCAAGACAAGACTGACCGGCAGAGGCCAGCCGGCATACTTGAGCCCCTCCCCATCCCTAAAGGCTTATGGACAAGCAGTTCATGAACGTCATAAGCAGCCTTCCCAAAGTGAATGGGAAGAGCCAGAACATGGTCGTGGTGGACCAGCTTTCGAAGTATGCCACCTTCATCGCTTCCCCCGACCAATGTATGCCGAGACTGCAGCACAACTCTTCTTCATCCATGTGGTGAAGCTATGGGGTGTTCCGAAGGACATCGTGAGCAACCGAGATGCTCGCTTCACGAGAAGGTTCTGGCATGAGTGGTTTGACTTCATGGGGACTCGGTTAAACTTCTCCATTAGCAATCACCCTCAGACTGATGGCCAGACCGAGAGGATGAATGTCATATTGGAGTACTTGAGACACTATGTGACTGCTAACAAGCACAATTGGGTCAGCTTACTCGACCTGGCCTCGTTTTGCCACAACCTACATCGGAGATCTTCCGCCGAAAAAAGCGCCTTGGAGCTAGCCACGGGCTGGCAGCCCCTGGCGTCCCCATGATGTGGCCTTACAACATGACTAGTCCAAGTGCCCAGCAACACTGCGACTGGCTAAGGCTAGAACAGCACTGCTATTGAGCTGTCAAGCGCATGAAGAAGTATGCGGATGCAGAACAATGGCCCTTAAGAGTTCCAAGTTGGGGACTGAGTGATGTTGAAACTCACTCCCACGATCTGGAAGAAGATCAATGCCAAGGGGGCACACCACGGCTTGATCTAGCAATATGTTGACCCTTTCGAAGTTACCCGAAGGATAGGGAAGTTGGCCTATCAATTGGCACTTCCCAACCGGATTATCGTTAATCCAATCTTCCCTATGGGCTTCTTAAAGCCATACCACAAGGATGAAGACCCAAACAAGGTCCAAGCCTTACGAGCCCCACCAAACATAAGAGCCCAGTTTGAACATATGGTAGAGGCCATTTTGGCTTGATGAGTACTGGGACAAAGTAAAAAGAACCGGAGGATTGAATTCCTTGTCCAATAGATGGGCTTGCTTGAAGAGGAAACTAGCTGGGAGAAGGATGCTATGCTCTGGGAGTACGAGAATCTGATCCAAGAGTTCTTAGCAAACTGTGGGCGTGGCCACCACGTGTACTTAAATTCAAACAGTGTAATTGTCGTAATTGAGGCTATTTAAGCCCCTGGCCCAGACCCTTGAGGGGCTATTTGTTGTTTAGTTTATACTTTTATAAGTTTGTTGAAGATAGAGACTTTGAGTCCATGTTATTATGGTATATGGACAGTTCGAGACTATTACTAATACATAGCCTATTAGACTTTTAAAAATTTTAAAATTTTGAACAAGGTTATTCTCAAAAAGGAAATAAAAAAGTGAAGAAAAAAGAAAAAAATAAGAGGTTTTTATCCTTTGCTTGTTTAGCTCTTCAATCCCTCAACCCACCTGTCTTCTTCTCTCTCCTCTCCCCCTCTCAATCCTAATCCTACCCCTTACTTCTCTATACGGCTTTCAAACTCTCTGCCCAAAATTTTAGCTGTCTCTCCTCATCTCTCTAAATCACCTTTGCTTCATCTCGCTCTCACAAGGGAAAAAAAAAACTTTAATGCTACTTAGTTAAGTTCTTTTTCCTCACCTCTTAGAATGTTTCTCTTTTTCTATCTTGTCCTTGTATCTCTCTCCACGTCTCTGGCTTGTGGCTGCCCCTCCTTCTCGGTATCTCAATTCTCTTCTGCTATCCTATCCTCTTCTTTTGCTCTATCCTGCCCTCATCGTCTCCCTCTTGAGCTTTTTCTTCTCTCTCTGTTGTTTTTTACTATTGCGGAGATCTTGGAGGCCAACGGATGCTCTTTTCTTTTGACAAATACCATTGAAAGGTTCCCTTGGCAGTTGCCTGCCAAAGCCAGATGTACTCGAAGTTCGCATAAAAAACTGCCTCAAGCCGAGTACTTTCAAGCAACATGATGCTCATTTGTGAAACCTTCGCAACCTCGCAGCTCACATCAAATAATCCAATGGGAATTGCTTGCTCCCCACTCTAAAAGCTGCCCCTCGCCATGGACCAAACCGCATCTCAGAACTCTCACCCATCACGTCAGAATCCTAAGTCTAGAGATGTGTCTCAGCTTTATCACCTACAGCAGCAACCCAGATTACTTTCCTCACCTAACTCTAGCAGCAACACTCACGACTCCGGTTTTGTAGCAGTTGCACCTCTTGTCCATAACTTTGAGGACATACCAAAAGTTTAAACCAAAGCATAGCAGTCCGTTTACTTTTATTGTACCTCCCCTCCCCCCTCTCCACCCCCCCTCCCCCCCCCCACCCGCTTTCTATACTCCCATCTTTTTCTTCCACCTCCCCTCTCTACAGTTCTAAGCGTACTCTGAGCACCCAACTTGTGAGATGCCGTCTCATTTCTACTCGTTTTGTAAGTTTATTCCTTTAATACAAAGTTAACCTTTCCTCAAAAAAATAAAAACATGCAATAAATGGTTTGAATTTGGAATTGACACAAATATATGTAAATATGTGTGTTTGGACTGCACATATATGTATATATCTACAGAATTTGTACTGCAGGGTGCCTGAGGTTCTGGGTGCCCGCCTAGCCGCTAGGCACCAAGCAGGCTGCCTATGGGCCGCCTAGCGTTTTTTGAAATCTTGGTTTCAACAATCACGTAAACATAGCAAATAGTATGAGCAAATGTAAGTAACATAAAGATAGCCAGCAGTTGGCCCTAACACATAAAGATGTGGCTTAATGTGAAAATCCAAGGTCTTCTAGCTAGACTTTAGCCTATGATGCACCATATCTCATAGCTTGAAGTGTAAATAGCAGCAGTAAAACTAAATATTCCACACTAATAGATGCATAACCTATCTCAATTTGAAGTGGATAAGTTGTGTACTTTCAAAAACAATATGGGCACTTAATTAGTCCTTTTACAACTCAGTTTCCATTCTCAAGTGCAAAGTGTCGTTGCACTAGACGAAGCTCACATTTAATTATGTCATTTCTAACCATGACTTTACAAGATATTAAAATATGGAAAACAGCATGCAAGGAAAACCACTGTGTGAAGTAAATCATAATTTTATAACAAGGAAAATAGTCCACAATTCCTAATTGTTAAAATGTGTATCGAAAGGTATAATATAACCCAATGGAGTATGGTTTGGTACCAAATGGTCAGTCGTTCCCAGCACTACAGTTAATCTCCACCATCTGTTTGTGGGAACAGACAATGGAGGCCATTTGGAGCATCATATACCATACTCCAATGGATTACGACATAGATTCACAATCTGTATTGCTATTCCAAAGCATATTGTTTGTCATTAGAGCTCAGAATGAAACAACCATGAAAGGTAGAAGTGGAAAGAATCGAAGATGCACAATAAGTATTAGTAACATAAATGACTCAAAACAGAAACTATTAGTCACATATAAACAGAACTTACTTGAAATAACTCAACAGAATATGGAGATGGCATTTCTTTAATGGCAATTCGAGCTTGAGGCGTCATAGAATTTCGGTAAACAATTATCGCATCATGTACTTTTTCGTTGAGGATCTGTTTTATATATTCACGCATATGTGCAAGTTTCGCTGCATCAACTGCACAAAATAGCACCATTATCTGCAAATTATGCGAAAAATATTATGGCATCAGAAACATTCATAAGAAATATATGGCAAGTTCAAAATTAAAACCAAAATCTGGTACACCATGAATGCTATAATGCTCTAGGTATTCTACAAAACAGGATGCACAGAATAAACTTATCGATAGTTCTCTATTTCATTACACAAGCATAATGAAATGCATTCCAAGACGGCAAGACCCAAAATTTCCCAAACAAAATGAACTCCTTTATAGAATTCCATGTCCACTCTCTCCAAAAGTTGTCAATATTGAGGACCCCAAAATCCATAAAAACATCTGTCGGACCTTTTTTGGCAGCAATATAGCATCTTTCTAGGTGTAAGGCATTTCTCAAACAATAGAGAGTCAACAATCCCCCAACTAGGAAAAAACCCACAAGCTCATGAACAACTCTAGTAGGACCTAAAAGTAATACAGTGGCACAGGCCTTGATATTTTATTCTTGTAAAATGTCAAAGAATGCAATTAACCAAAACAGCAAACACAAAAATCTGCCAAAGTAGCTACAGGAGGAAATCACCGATGACAGAAGCAAGCTTCAAATTTCTTCCATAAAAGAAATCAATATAAAAGCAACCAATTCAAGTCTCATCAAAACTCCTTGAAACCACTATTTAAATGACATTACTATGAAATCCTACCCATCCAAACCTTTTTAATCTCGACTATTTATTCGTATCATAATCTTAATAAGTAATTTACAAGATACTAAAAATTAACACAAAATAAAATTCATAAGAAACTCTAATCTGATACTCCCTAAAACCCATACGCTCCTCCCCCCCCCAAAAAAAAAAAGGCCAAAAACTAGATCCTTATCCTCGACAAATGGAAACCCTCTAAAACCTCAATTTGGCCATCTTGTGCTTGCAACAGTCTCCTATGGTAGGAGAAACTCATCATCAAGTTCTAAAGCTTGGATGAGCTCCAAAGCAAATAAACATTCTTCTTCAACCTTCTTCTTTGCTCGACATATAAGTTTAAATGGTACCAAGAATGCCCCAGCAAATGGGTGATATGTGCAATCCGAGAAATGGAGGTGTCAATATAAAGAAACTAATTCAACCATCTTCACATTCTCTATGGATTTACCATTGATAAATTCATTCTCAAAATCCAACCACTTATAAGGAATAGGATTATCTGCAATACCCAAATAATCACCAGGGTAGATCTCGAACCTCAGAGGTTAGTCTGAATCTATGACTTCCATATTTTTGAGAAAAAAGATAATGAAATAAAAGTTTCATGATAGTCATGAAAACCAACTAGTGCCAAGGCCCCTCGTTGATGAAGCAAATTGACAACAGATCTTTCTTCATAACAATCATTCTTGTACTCTTCATATTGATCCATGGTATAATTTTATGTTGTTTTACCATTTACAGTCATGGATGAGTTGATCTTGTATGAACCTACTGACATTTTGTTGCAATTGGGCAAGTCCATTTCCATCTGGAGAAAGACCTTGAGTCCCCATTGACATCTTCAAATTGTGACTTCAATGCCCTTAAAAACACCGATCTGGTACCCATTGACTGCCATGATATTTTATTCTTGTAAAATATGAAAGCATGAAAATAATCAAAGCAGTAAACACAAAATTTTGCAGAAAGTAGCTAGAGGAAAACAACCATGAAATAAGCATCATAAGTTTCAAAATTTCTTCCATAGAAGAGATTAATACAAAACTACAGAAAAAATCAATACGAAAATAAATAATTCAAGTCTCTCAACTCCCAAACAACACTATTTAAATTACATTGAACCCATCAAAATTTTGCTCATCCATTCCCTTTTATTCTCCACCATCTATTTCTATTATAGTCCAACTAAATCAAAGTAATTTAAATATATTAAATTCAACACAAAACGAAGTTCCTAAGAACTATACTCTCATACATCCTAAAACCCATATATTATCCCAAAATAAAAAAATCCAAAAAACAGATCCTTATATGCAACAAATAGGAACCCTTTAAAACACAATGTATCCATCTCATGCCTGCACCATATAGATAACCCACAAAATAGTTCAACATTCATGGTAGTTTGATAACACATTTGAGGTAATGGTAAAATACAAGAAGGGGGAAAATATCTGTATCTCACAACCACACTACAGAGAGAGTAACAAAAACTCAGAGAGAGAACAACCAGCACAACATAGTGAGAGAAACAAAAACCAAGAGAGATAGAGAACATATCATACAAAGAAAGCCAACAGAACCCCAGAGATAGAACCAACACAAATTGTAGAGAGAGAAACTAGAACACAGGGATAGGACCACCAACATAAAGTACAGAGAAAGAAACAAATCGCTGGGATAAAACACCACCACAAAATACGAGAGAAACAAGAGCTAGAGAGAGAATGACAGAGAAACAAGCAATGGATTTTGGTGACTGAGACATGCAGTCAATGAAGCATACCCTCTGAGAAGGGTCTCTATCCATGGCGGTGGTGATAGTAAGCTGGCTGGTATCAGGCTCCTCGCCATAAAGCTCTCTAAAATGGGGCAAAGTCATTGAGAGATCATTATCTGAGACACTATAACCTCTGTCTCTGAGCATCTCGAACACTGTTTTTCTCGCGCGAAACAATCTATGGCTTTCCACGCTCCCTCTGTCCAAGAGCTTGCACAGGCAGTTCTCTGCAGCCATCTCTCTCTCTCTAAAAATGAAGAGAGAGAATAGAAGGGAAACGATACGAGGGTAAGGCGTTTCCCGCCCTATGGGTCAGAGAAAAGAAGCGAGAGGTTGCACCAAGCTGAACTGAAGCAGCCCGTATATGTATAGTATGCATGACAATGCTGGAGGATATCACCGTAAATTTTCAGGGATGAACGGTGATGGAGGAAGTGGGACTGCTGACAATTCAATAAATTACCATATGCCCCTGCTTTATTGATCACCGTACAGACCACTGAAACGAAGGTGATAAATCACGTGATCATTGTTCCCAGCTTAGCAGCTTGTGGTGTTAAGCCATGGTACAATATTAAGGGACATACAAGCCCTTCAAAGTAAATTAAAAAAAGTTTAAGGTTTAAACAAAGAGAAATTATCTTATAGGACCCACTCCCACCCATATGTGCAGGATTTCGATTACCATTAAATTTGGCACGGATTTATAGAAAAGTCAAGTCTCACACCCATTGATAACTTTTTTAAAGATTCGTGTCATCTTTAATGGTGATCATTTGGGGTCTTGCATACATGGGTAGGAGAGGGTCCTATAGTATCATTACTCTTAAACAAATGGGGTCACAGTGTGACTGTAAAGGCTCGAGTAGCCAGCATAAGAGAGAGTTCGAGTCTTGAGAGCAGCCACTTTATACATAAGCTAAAGGTTAGGACTATTTTCAATCCATTCCTCTCGGGACCCTATTTAGGTGGGACCAACACCAGGTTATGACCTTTTTTTTTTTTAGGGTTTAAACAAACCAACGAGCTAACTTGGAACTGCCCTAGTCGGCTCAAAGCCAAGAGGTGACCGGTCTGAGTCCCTCCTGAAATTGGACTCGACAGGTCCACAATATTTTCATTCATTGTTCTATTCGATCATTATTAGTTTTTAATTAATCATGACTGATTACGAAATATTTGAATTTTTCCATGATTTATTAACTTTATCTTTGGTGCATTTTCAGTTTTTTTTTACTTTTGTGATCTTTTTATGTGTCATTTTAGTCTCCCTTTCTTATATTTTTCATAAGATTTTTGTGAAATCTAAGTAATTGTTTGATAATTTTTTTACATAAAAAAATTCCCAGTGGTAGAGATGACTTTGAGTCAGCTCATCATCTTTACTGGTATTAGATTTTACATTTCAGCTTATTTTTACTTCTACTACTGGTATCAATTCATCGAATGGATGGTGCTATCATAATGTATTGCATTACTTTCATATAACCGCATAGCACTCAGAGAAGCACAATTCTCTCGTATTTATGTTTCTTCATTAATTTCATCAAAAATGTGTTACACATTCATAAACTTTCTTTTACAAACCCACAAATTTAGATTTTCTTTTTTTTTCCACTTTTTTTTAGCGGCCCGGCACCACTAATGTCACGACCCCGCCCCCTGAACCTTGTCGTCCCATACCGGAGGGCGACAGAGTGCGGGATCACGACCAGAAGTCGCGTACGTCACTTAAGTGGGAGTGACATCAACACGTGTTATAAGTGTAGAATCAAAGCAAGCCATGAGAAAATAATTAAAACTTCATCCACCAAGCATAAGCAACTGAATAAATTTAACCATTGATCTTCATTCAATTCCACAAGTCTATACAATAAAATTTATGGCTTAAAAGCTTGACATTCATTTCAAAAGTACATCAAACTGAGACACACGTGGTAGAGCCACCAGACACATACAAAGACAAAAAAGAAGCCTGAACCGGTCTGAACTCCGAAACGCCTGCTATCATCGGTCACCTGCTCGTCCCACTCGGTCAAGCACTATCACTCTACACAGATGAAATAAGCGGAGTGAGCAATAAGCCAAGTAAGTAGACCACTGCTCTTGCATCCTTGACTATCAGTATACATATGATAACATGCTTAGGATTTAACAAGAATAACATTTGTCTTGCAAAATAACCAGACACATACAAAGACAAAAAAGAAGCCTGAACCGGTCTGAACTCCGAAACGCCTGCTATCATCGGTCACCTGCTCGTCCCACTCGGTCAAGCACTATCACTCTACACAGATGAAATAAGCGGAGTGAGCAATAAGCCAAGTAAGTAGACCACTGCTCTTGCATCCTTGACTATCAGTATACATATGATAACATGCTTAGGATTTAACAAGAATAACATTTGTCTTGCAAAATACGGTCAGGTAAAACTTAGGTAACAGAGCATTACTTATTCTCAAAAATAGCATCACTTTTATGTGTGTCACAAGTCACAGTAAGATGTTCTTACAGAATACATAATTGAGATAAACTGAATAGATTAAATTGCTTCTGAAGTAGAAGCCACAGTGATCAGGCTAAGCCAATCTTGAGCTTGGGACTTCTACCCTCATTCAGGAGGGAGGATAATGATAAGTGGGGGCCCCACTTTGTAATGCCGTCACTCACGTACACAATCCCTAGTGCGCTTTGGGGGTTTTGATAGGCTGCAGCCTTGCAAGACACGACCCTCTCTTCATGCCCTCAGGAGGGAAGGCGTTACACTACCATTGGAGTACCCAATGCGTAGTGCCTATGACAATTGGGCGGCGCGACCCTCCCAGTTATTTATAGTTACCTCCCGACTCCACTCCTATCATAAGAGTCGAGGTATATAATATCCACTACCAATGAATGACCCATTCCATAGCACCATAAATCATATATATCAGAGTTCATATAACATAATCATAATATCTACTACCTCCTGAGGACCCATTGCGTAGCGGTCAGAAATCAGAATATAACTGAATTCATATAACAGAATTAGAATATCCACTACCAATGGAGGATCCATTGTATAGCGGTCAGAAATCATAATACAACAGAATTCATGTAACAGAATCAGAATATCCACTACCAATGGAGGACCCATTGCGTAGCGGTCAGAAATCAGAATATAACAGGATTCATATAACAAAATCATAATATCCACTACCAATGGAGGACCCATTGCGTAGCGGTCAGAAATCAAAATATAATAAAATTCATATAATATAATCAGAATATCCACTACCAATGGAGGATCCATTGCGTAGCGGTCAAAAATCAGAATATAAAATAATTCATATAACATAATCAAAATATCTTCTACCAATGTAGGACCCATTACGTAGTGCCAGAAATCACAGAATATCAATTTCCATATAACAAAGTCAGAATATTCATTACCAATGGAGGACCCATTTGCTTAGTGTTCATGACACATATATCAATATTCATATAACAGAATCCCAGTGTCATATTCATAGTATGACAGTATCAGTTTCGCAGAATGACATTTTCAATATCACATAATGATAGTATCAATATCATAGAATAACAGTATCAGCATTACATGATGACAGTATTAATGTCACAAAATAGCAATATTAGTATTGCTTTTTAAGAGCATCAGTATTACAGAATAACAAAGTATTATAGAGTAACAGTGCTAGTATCATACATTATGAGAATCGCAGAATCTCAATATTGTTGTCACGCTTTTTTAAATCTCATGCAGTGACATCCAATCAAAACAACGATATACCTTCCAGTTCATCATTTAGAATTTAAAGATAGTTCCAAAATATTTTTTATGTTAGGCACAACTACCTTTCAAATAGGAGCGGTTTGCAAGCAATCGGACCTTATTTGACCCCTCAAAAGAACCAAAGATCAAAGGCAATTAATATGAAATCCGCTGTGCAGTGAAGGTAGTGACATGTCTTTGAAATTCTGTCTATATTTCAAAATCAAGAAGGAATTTCAAAAAGTGATCAACATGTGAATTAGAGCTAACTCATAAACAGTTCCAATGGAAGCGGTTTGGAATAAAATGGATACTGTGCTTTTGCTAAAACTGTCCACAGTGTCCTACTGGCATATTTCAATATATAACTTCTTATACATAAAGAATCAAGACAAGATGAAAACATGAACATTGAAATAGATTCATAAATACTTCCAATGGCGATGGTTTGGACTAAAATGGATACTTTTTGGTCAGTCAAACTCAGTGACATCAAAGGAATTAAATCTGTGCTTTTGCTAAAACTGTTCAAAGTGACCTACTGGCATATTTCAATATATAACTTTTAATACATGAATAATCAGGACAAGATGAAAACATGAACATTAAAATAGATTCATAAATATTCCCAATAGCGGTAGTTTGGACTAAAATGGATAGTTTTTGTTTAGTCAAACTCAATGACATCAGAGGCATTAAATCTGCGCTTTTGCTAAAACTGTCCACAATAACCTACTGGCATATTTCAATATATAACTTTTTATACATGAAGAATCAGGGCAAGATGAAAACATGAAAATAGATTCATAAATATTTCTAATGGCAGTGGTTTGGACTAAAATGGATACTTTTTGGTCAGTCAAACTCAATGACATCAGAGGAATTAAATCTGTGCTTTTGCTAAAATTGTCCACAATGACCTACTGGCATATTTCAAGATATAACTTTTTATAAATGAAGAATCAAGACAAGATGAAAGCATGAACATTAAAATAGATCCATAGATATTTTCAATAGTGGTGGTTTGGGGTCATTTGGACTTTAATTCCTTAGTCAAATGTTCAGTACAATAGAAGTAATATTCCTGGAATTTATCACAATCAGCTAACAGTGATATACAAGCACAAAATGAAACACATCTTCTAAACTATCAAGAATCTCAACTGGATATAAGCATCAAACTAAAGCAGACTCAGAGATCATTCTAATGGTGGTAATTTCAGGAAATTATGAGATTATTTGATAGGCCAACAGAGAGTCACAAGAACCTCAATTCTCCCTGGAACTCCACAGTCCAGTCATAACATACTTAAAGGATCAAGACGTAACTTCTAAAACACCGAAGATAACTTCATGAAATCAATTCTATCCTAAACTAGGCTCATAGGAGCATCAACCCACAGATTTTCAGGCTAAAAGAAAAAACAACAGTGCATAGAATATCATACAAACGGGGCTCACTCTCTGAAAAACAGAACACAACATGCATGCTTCACTTCACACTTGTTCATGGAGATTCATGGTCCCAATTCATAATTTCTATTTCATACTCA